ACTAATTTAATATTAAATGATGGAATTAGAAGAAAAAAAATCAATTTAAAAGATTTTTCAAAGTTAAAAAATAAAATAAAAATAATAGGAATCAACTATGATAAAAAAAAACCTAAGGGAGGATGAAATCATAAAAAAAATTAAAACTATCTCAAATAAAATAAATTGCAATTAAAAGAATGTTATTCAAATATGACTTATGAAAAAAAATTAAAGTATGATGAAGTAGAAAAAAATTATAAATTATTTCAAATAAAAAATAGTATTAAAAAAATAAAGATCAAATTTTAAAAAAAATAAATTGAATATATGCTTTAAAAAATTAAAGAGTTAGGTGCAAATATCAAAAAGAAAAAAGAAAATAATAAGATAAAAAAATCATTGACACCTAACTAAAGATCAATAATCCATGCACATTGTTTAAGGATGAAGGGGTTATTGAAAAGACTTAAACGCTCCTAGAAGCTATTGTTTAATCGATAATCCCAACACACTTCTTGAATGGTATGAAAACAATCAAGATGCTAAAATATTTTAAATATTTTAATGTTATTTTAAATTTATTAAATTATCCAATTACCTTTAAGTCAATGTAATTATAATTAAAAACCCGTAATTTAAATATAAAAAAAATCCATGGACAATAATTAAAGAAACTTTGCATTTAAAAGTAATTTAATCATTTTAATATGAGTTAAATTTTTATTTTTAAATACTCATAGATGTGAGTTAAATAAATTTTATTTCTAAAAGTGATTTAATTATCTATTATGCTAAAAAAACATTAAAATAACTTATATATCTCTTATCAATTCAATAATAACCAATAGATTTTTTTATGAAGAAACCGTATTATCTTGAAAAATAATTTAATGAATATTTTTAAGAATAAAAAAATAATCATTTCACTTTACCAATTTTTGTAAAAAAATATCTTGTTTTACTATAAAAAACTCAGCTCTATTAGTTTTTTTTTTTAAATTCAACTTTAGTTAAGCTTTGTTTCTCCAAATTTATTTATAACTTAATTCTTTGATCAATTTATTTTTATTTTTTCAGAAATAAAAAACAAAGTAGATAAGATGAAATTTTCTTGTGAGGAAATACTGCATTTTTATAAAAAATAAAAACTATTTTCTAATTTTTTACATTGCATAAATTAATTAATTGATTTTGATATATTTGGAGGACAGTGTTATAATTAACTTTTATGATAGAAAAATATGCAGATGCATGGTTTATTTATTTCTTTCTATTTTTTCTTTTCTTTTCTTTTATTAAGGTAGCATCCCAAACTTATATGAAATAAATATGAATAGTTTAAAAACAAAAACTTTAGAGAAGTTTTATTCATCGCATTGGGCAAGTTTGTGAGGATAAGAAAAGTATATCACAGGAGTTTACGATAACCAAAAAAGAAGAAGAAGAAAAAAACTATTCAGATGCTTACTCGCTGAGCAGGTGTTTGATTTTGCTGAGCCATGGTCAAATAAAAAAAAATATAAACATAAAAAAGTTATTCAAGAACTATTTTATATTATATTGTTATTAAATTTAATTAAATTTAATAAGTTAATCTTAATTTTTTTAACCCTAACTCCTTATTTAATTTAAATTTAAAATTAATCAGCCTAGGAGTTGTCTAAACACCATATTAACTTGGCGGACCCATAATAAACTTATATAATTAATTAAAAATATGGTTTGATTTTAAATTCTTTTTCAAAATAACTTTTATCATTATTATTATTGAAGCAATGAAATATTAGATCAATCAATCAAGATTCCGTGATTAAATTATCAAACCACAATCAGAATTATGGATTTCACCAAGTTTAATAATTTTATTTTTTTAACTATTTTTATTTAATGATATGATAGCAAAATTCATAAAATTAAATATCAATCAAATATTAGTTGTTTGGGACTGCAAAAACCTAATAGAAATAAAATCAAAATAAATTATGAGAATCAATTCCAAATTAACCAAATAGTGAAGGATGAAATCGAAGACAAAAAACAAAAAAGATTCAATTGAAAAAAATAAAAGATAAAATTTAAAAATAAAAGAACTTTTTGACATTGTTATTAAATATGATTAAGTGAATCAACTTTGAAATCTATTGATTTGATTTCTTGTTTAATTCAAATTTAAAATTAATTTATGTGAAAGTTATCCTTGTGTGATACAATCAACTTAGCATGTCCAAAGATAATTTATACAATAGGTAAAAGTGTAGTTTGACTTTAAAAATATTCAAGATATCATTTTTTTTAATAATAAGATGATGACATATTAAATTGATTCGAGACTTGACTTGTAAAATTCGCAACCAAAATCATAAATTCCACTAGGCTTAAAAATTATTTTTTATTTAATAATATAATAAAAAAATTAACACTTATATAATTAAACACCAACAAAATATTGGAAAAATTATTTGAGATTTTGATAATTTTATATAAAATAAATTAAAATAAATTATAACAATTTATTTAAAACAAATAAAATATTAAATGATAACATTATAACAAAAATTAAAAAGCATTCAATTAAAAGAATAAAAAATCAAAAATAAATTTTTATAAAATATTTTTTTAAAAAAATAAAACTTCCTTCAATGTTTATATAAACTATGTAGTTGGTGGACAAAACCTCAGTATTTTTTAGTATATTAGTTAATTTTTAATTTAAAAATAAATTACAAAGTTATAAATTTTTTTAAAAAATTCTCCATGCATACTCAATTTAAATATAAATTACAAAGTTATATTACATGATTTCATCATTTTTTAAATAAATAATTTAATTGAAAAACAATAAGGCAAATAAATTATTAAGCAGCGTTTGGTTCATATACAAAGAGTTGTGACAAGAGCCCATTTAATTGATAAGTCCAATTTGTGTCCCTTCACAGAGGAGGGATATGTAGGGTTTTTTTTTTTTTTCATTTAATGTTTAACTGAGATATTCATGAATATAATAACAATGGTTTTTTAAAACATGTTTTTGTTTAGAAATATTTTAAAATAATATTTTTAATTTTTTTAAATTATTACATCAAAATAATCTAAAACATAAAAATAATTAATTTAAAATTAAAAAATAATAAATTTTTTAATAATACTTTTAAAATATAAAAATAAATAAATAACTAGTGTGCTTTCTCGTCGTGTGTACTCTTTTTTTTTTTTTTAATTTTTTGTCGGCTTCAGGCTTGGTTTTCAGAGGTTGTGATGTGACGTTTTCTATCGAATTTCTTTGCTTTATGAGATTAGTTTTATTCGAATTTGCCTTGGCCAAGTAACTTTATTCCCTTTTGCCTTTGATTTTTTGTTTTGTTTTTTGTGCACTCCTAATTCTGGTCGGTAGCTTCTTTTTTTTTTTTTTTTAATCCACGTAGAGAAAATATTGGTCAGTTTCTATATATTTTAATTAATTTTAAAATTAATAATTAAATAAATTTTTAATAATAATAATTAAAAAACTCGAACTCAAAACTACATAAAAAAACAAATACTTTAATCCTAATTTTTACCACACGGGTACCGATTCGATGGTTTTCAATAGCTATATCAATGACACTTGTTTTAATTTATTGGGTTGCTTTGTTTTTATAAAGGGGTTAATTATGATTGCTTTTTATTGATTTTTTTTTATTTTTAAAAAATTATCTGCCTTCTTGTTATAGTATGAGTTTCAACCTCTTTTGGTTTATTAGTTTATCGTAATTATCAGGATTTTTACTGTCTTCTTGAGAAACTCATATTTTATTTATTTATTCAGGACTTCTCCTTGCTTCTGTCTATTTATGCCTGAATGCCCTTCTATAAAGCTTTTTTTTTTAATCATAAATTGAATTAATCAATATTTATTTTTTATTATTTAATATCTTGAGCACATGTATTTTGAAGAACATGGCTTGTGTGGCCAAAATATGCGATAGTTGGATCTATCCCTTTCATGAATCTAGACTCTAGGTGGGCATTTGCATCCATTAACATCTTGTCCAACACTGTTTCTAACGTTTCAAGTTCATTTTCCTCGTCCCTTCGTCTCTCTCTCTCTCTCTTTAATGTTAGATTTTAGCAGGGTAATAAATATGATTCCACACTATTATTCTTTTTTTTTAAGTATTTTTATTTTTTATTTTGAATTAATACTTTTTAGTATTTTTAGATCATTTTAATATATAAAAATAATTTTAAAAAAATAAAAAATATTTTAATACATTACTAAATTAAAAATATTTTAAAAAACAATATCAATAACACTTCCAAACATCCTTTATATTACAGCGTTGTATTCTTATTATTATTTTCTTAAAAAAATCATGTTGTTTAGGCGTAGCAAATGTTTTTTTAAAAAGTAAAAATTAACAACTATCCCATTATATTAAATAAATTGGTTTTGTTAATTGTATGAAAATAAAAATTAAAAATAATAGTAAATAAATTCAAATTTAAAGAAAAATAATCAAGATAACTTCAGAATATTTTTTTCTAAAAAAATAATATAATATAATTTTTAATTAATTAAATATAAAATAATAAAATAAAATAACATAATAACTTAGATAATAAAAAGAGACTAATCTGTACTAACTTGAGGTCTAAATAATTTATGAACTAAATAATAAAATTAAAATAATTTTATAAAAAAAACTACAAAACTTTTTATTTTTTTAAAAACTAATATTATATAAAAAAAAAATATCAATTCATATTAATTTTTCAAACGCGTCATCGAAATGAAGAAAACATCTAATTACTTTCCAATTCTTTGCGTGGACACCAACAATCAACAAAACAAATATTTATGACCTAGTCCCTGTGCTCTTATAAAACTAATATTTTAGCTCCTTTAGTCATAAAAATTACTAATTAATCCCTTGATCTGACGTCAAGTCAGGAACAATAATTAACGGACACAATAGGCAGGCCAGCTCAACAATTATTAAAATTAATTATTTTCGAGACTATAGGGACTTATTTGTTTCTTCAAACTAAAACCAACAACAGCAAGCAAAGGCAGTAGTATACTTCTTCGCAAGGTTTTAGTGTTGGCAACTGCCATCTCCCCATTTCCCTCAAACAACCCCGCATTTCTGCCATAACTGAGTGACCCTCCATGGGATCAATGAGGTCAGGTCACTTCTCTTGTCCTCCCATTCTCTTTATCTCAGCATTTTTTTTAACACTGTGAATTTGCTTTTTTGTTTGGTGTTTTGTATGTGCAGTCGGCACCCAGAGGTTCTATGGGCTCAAAGATCAGACAAGGTTTACTTGACAATTGCATTACCTGATGCTAGAGACATATCAGTGAAATGTGAAGGTGAAGGGTTATTTAGCTTCTCTGCTGTTGGGGTTCAAGGTGAATCGTTTGATTTCAGTTTGAAACTCTTTGGAAACATTGTTCCCGAGGTTAGTGATTTATTATTTATTTCCTCTTTGCATTTCACTCTTTTGGTATAGAGTTGTGAAATATTTTGTGGGTTATTGTCATTTTATTGGAAAGTGCACAGTTGTATAGTTCACGGGTTGCAGCCATTTTGTTTCATTAGAAGGATTTTAATCATGTTCTTCTGTCCTTTTGTTTGAGGGGCTAATGTCAGTTTAGCTTTATGATTTCTGAACAATTTCTGCATGCTGCTTTTACTGGTTTCAAGAAGGAAAAAAAGACTTGATTTCGGTAGATTTGAAGCCAGGCGGGGAATTGCTGCATACTTTTTGGCCACACTTGTTAATGCATCTTCATGTCATGCATTTTTGTGCGAAAAATTAGGCTTAGTTTGGAGAAAATAACTCATGTATGTTGTGCTTCGTGCTCTAATCCTTTTGGATGGGAAAAATTAATGGATTAAGTAAGTCTGAATAGTTGTCAGGATATCCAACATCGATCCATGGAACCATCACTGCCGCTCCCCTTAGATTGTACAAAGTGCTTTTCTCCTTTCTATCCGTCATTATCGCTTCTGCTTTATCACCTCTCCCTTCACAATTTCTGTGTTGATTAGTGTTTTGTTCCAGCACGTCAGCCATCATTGTCTCTGGCATCTGTTTTTGTTGCCACTAGCTCTGGAGCTATGGCCTACGCAATGCCTTTGCCTTTATTTTTTCTGTGCCCCTCCTCCCCCTTAAATAGGAACCAAAAAGAGAGAACTTAAATTATGAAAAAATTGCTGCTGCTAACTCAATGCCAAGTAATGCCTTTCAAATTAAAAAAAAGATGACCCTCCCCTCTGTCTGTCTGTTGGTGGTTATCTTACAAGATAATGATCAACTATTGACGAGTTAGCTTGGAGCTAGTCAGTCTTCTAGTTGTATTGTGATGAACGAGTTCACATGAAGTCAGGCTTCCAGTTCACCCTGATGAAGCATTTCTACTCAGGACAGGCTCCTTCTTCTACTTGCAGAGATATTCTTTAGTCTATTATGTACATCACATCTTTAAGGACATCAGAAGGAATACTTTGTAGAATTATTGCTGAGTGTTCATAAGCATCAATTATTAGAAAACTCTTGTATCTTAAATTCTTTTTTTCTCTGATCAAGCTTTTTTCATGCAATTATGATCTGTTACTCAAAGGTTTTGACTTACCATATAATATCCAATGTTTAGAATTTTCTCATCCTACTTTTTCTTTGTTTGACTGACCCTCTCAAGTTAAAGAAACTTGGTGCCACATAACTGAGCATTTTGTCTAGATGACATTCCAATATGTAGTATTTGAATAATATCAATGTTTAAACGCGAAATTCCTAGTAATTTTCTCTGTTTTTTTTTTTTTTTTTTTTATCGCTAACTTTTGAGACATTTTAAGTCTTAGAATTCAATTCTATGATGCTATGCAGGGTTGTAAAACCAAGGCTGGGTTGAGGAACATTATATGCTCAATCCAGAAAGAAGAGAAAGGTTGGTGGAGAAGGCTGTTAAAATCTGAAGAGAAACCTGCTCCTTACATTAAGGTGGATTGGAACAAGTGGTGTGATGAGGATGACAACGAGTCAGCTTGTAAGTTCTTCCAACCTGTTCTTTGTATTATGATATGAGGCCTCAAAGTTCTGCTCCTGGTCCAATTTTTGAAACACATCATGATTCTGACCTGAGTTAGGGTATATATTATTAATTGAACTTTATGATATTTGAATCCTGGCCCAAAGTCCTGTCACGTGATGGTTTAATGCATTTAACTTGGGCTGTTTAATATCAAGATTTCTAACACTAGCTGGATTTTCCTGCTTACTGTGTTGTGCTGTTAAATTATCGCCTCTTGTGAAATTTATGTGGTCCTGTTTTCCCTTGAATAGCAGTGAGTGTTTTTCTCTCAATTCCTGTTTCAGGATTCTTCTTCTTCTTCTTCTTCTTCTTTTTAATTGATAAAGCAAGATATTGTTCTAACATCATTTTTAAATGGGAGTGCACATAAATGAGGTTCTAAAAGTGTGGAAACTTTTGTTATTTCAGCTACCCTAAACTTAGGCATATAGGAAATTTAGATATTATCTTCTTAGCTTGAAGAAGAATTGTATGCTAAAAGACTCTTAATAGTTGTTTTGACTGCTTCCACCTAGTGAGTTGCAGAAACCATGCATGTTGATATTGCTATTGTATGGTTGGCATTCATTATCTTTCGCAAGGAATGCAGAATGCGTAATTCTGATATTTATAGAAAAATTGTTTAGCTTACACTATTCAAAGTGTTCTTAAGTCTTGATTTTTCACAAGCTGTGAGTCTGCATGGCCTGGAATGACTGAACAATGCTGGAAATTTACGAGCAATACCATGATGGTGATGCTTTTGAGTTTTGTAAATGCTCACGTTCTTCAATGGAAATAAAGGCTCAATCTTTCAACCATTATTGCATCCCAGCACAATCCTTTGTAATGCGGGATGCATGAATTTTTCCGTATTACTCTTTATTCGTTGCATAATTTGCATGGTGGTTAGTTATTATAGAAAGCTTTCCTGAAAGTACTATAGCTCTAGTGATATATAATACCAATTACATAAATATGAATATGCGTTGTCTTTGTTTGCATGCTATGTTGCTTTATGATTTCTATTAAATAACTCGAGAATATATTGTTCAGTATGCAAGAAATTACAGCTTAAGTTTCTGATTGAATTTGATCAAATTTCCTTTGTCCCATGCAGCTGATGCCTCTGATGACAATAATGCTGCGGTAATTTTTTTAATTTTTCCGTTTGGTTATTTGTTAATATAAAGAATGTTTTTACTATGCTTCATATCTGCGATTGATTATTCAACACCTGTTCTTTTGCAGCATGGAGAAGATGATGAGAGCAGTGATGATGATGGAATGCTTTGTAAGTTAGACCTTGATTGCTTTTACGAACTGTCATCAAAGTTAATACTCAGTAGCCTATGTGTATACTTCGCATGCACAGATAGGGTTCTGCAACAGTGCTGTACACTCACTTTTATCATCTATATATGCATTATCATTGATTGTCATGAAAAGGATGCTTTGTGGCTCTCAGTCCACATGGAAAATTTTAGCCTTTTGATTCCAAAACAATGAAGAAATGAAACTTGCTATAATTATTTCATTATTATACGGTCCATATCATTTCAAGGAAGTATCAAGTTATGATTATGCGAATCAAATAAACTGCTTTTGTGCCTGTGCGACTTTACCTTTAAAAGGTTTGCCATTTCATCTGATATGGTTGTGATACCTAACTGTTTTAGTCGTTACTTGCAGATCTTCCTGATCTTGAGAAGGCAAGGGGAAATTGACGACAATCAAGTACCATAGTGTGTTTTGACTTCAATTGAATTTCTAGTGATTGCAGAACTGCATCAGTGATTGCTATGCAAGGAGATTGAAGTTGAAAATACACAGATTGCAGAACTATTACAACGGAAGACTGTATATATTAGTTGTGTCAGTTTTAGTAAAATACAGGCTGGCTTGCAGGATTGATCCCTAGAAATTATGACTGAACTCTTCTGAAACTGTTCTTGAGTTATCTGGGGTTTGACTCGTATTCTCCCATTTCCCTGGTCATGTGGCTGATGAAAACTTTCAAAACTTAACCATCACCAAGGGACTCACGGTCACTGGACCATGGTAATAGTTGCTTAGCAGGGTGTTTGGTATTGTAATAGTTTTTGTGGTTGTGGTTTGAAAAAAAATATTTTATGAAAAGTATTTTCAGTTGGTTTGATATTTATATATATTTGGTTAAAATTGTGATTAAAATTGAATTTAAATAAAAAATAATTTAATATGTTTAGTTAAAATTGTTTTTTAAATTAAAGTTATAAAATAAATAAATAAAAATATATTAATATTGATAGTTTTAAATTTAAATATTATAAATTTAATTATTATTATTATATTATGAAATAAATAATATTTTATATAAAATATTTTTTATTGTTTCATTAAACTATTTATAATTTCATTACATATAAAATTCATCAGATAAAAACTATAGTTTTTATGATTTTTTAAATATATAATAAAATTAGATAAAATATTATTAGCAATAAAATTAAGATTATAGTATTAGTAAATTTAATTTATTATAAATTAGTTAAAAAAAACAAAAAAATTAATATAAAGCGCGTGAAATTAATTTAGTGTATTGGTATTTAAAAAAAAAACACTTTACATTAATAGTGAAAATAAATTAAAATTTATTGTATTATTTTTTTAAAATATTTATTAAAATAATAATGCAAATAAATTAAAATTTATTTGCACTGTAATTAAATGAGTGAGTGAAGAAAAGTAGCATAAAGTTGCTTTCATTTTTTCATTATATGCAATGGATCTCATAAAAAATAAATTACATTTTTGTATTTATTAAATAATTCTTTGGCTGTAGTTATTTCAAACATACAAAGTAACCACCGGCAAAATTCTGTGTCAATTAAACAGAGGCTTAAAGTTTACGCTATTACTAGATGATTCAGTATGTATCAGCAGTGTAAATTTGGTTCTGGCGATTCAGAAATTGGGAGTGGTTTTTCATTAGTCGTTCTTAAAGTGTGGCTCAGTAATGAGTTCTAGTGGTTGAGAAGACATTCTCATTCCAGTGGTTTTGGCAAGTTGTTCAGTAGAATTTAACCATAAAAAAATAAAAATTCCCACAATTTGTGCCCCAAAATTAACCTTTTTCGAGGGTAAACCAAACTGGCCTAAAACATGATCCATCGACTTTATCAGAAGAGAATAAAAGATCCCAACTTTTAAATGTACTGATCACTAGGGGTTCAAGGATATATAACAATGCAAGCCATGTCCCTGAGAAAAATTGGAACTGTCTTTCAGGCGAGCGTTGGAGGTTAACAATGGGGTGGAATATTTTTGTAACCCCAAAAGTTCTCATGAACATGATCAATGGCATAAAAGTGCAACACTCTTATGGATGATATCTGAGAGCAAGTCCATCAACACTTCTATCAAGCTTCTTTTTATTGAAGATAGCCAAAAGAAATTGAAAAACATATCAAAAACCGAAATACATGTGCAACATTTATGAAGTACATTGCCATGTTACTTTTCTTCTATGTTCTATACGATCAAACCCTTATTAGATGATGTTATTTTCTGTTTGTCAACTGCTGCAATACATTCTTCAAACAAAGGATAAAAGGGGAAAAAAGAGAGGAAATGTTCAATCATGCCACAGGAGGTTGCCAACTTGAGCGGCAGACACAAATCCATGGTGCATTTCTAGCAGTTATTACTGCATCTTTTATAGCAATCGAAGGCTGCTAACAAACTATGACGGGCATTGAGAAGCGTCTTCTACCACATGAATGGGGACAACTGGGATTGAATCCCACCATTCTTTTAGCCTTCTGTTCCCTTGTGCATTTCCAAAGTGCCTCCCTAGCTTTGATGTCATGATGATGCTGTGTAATGTGATGGCTATGAGCATGTATTTTAAGGGAACCACCGCGAAGATTATTGCCAATACAGTCATTGCCGCCATCACCATATCAGCTTGCTGCAAACAACGACAAACTTTTTATTGATGCAAAAGACATTGAGCCAAGAATGTGAATTTAGGTAATGGAGCTCGATAGAGCAGATTTGCAAGAAACATTAGCATGACATGCAAATCAGTCCACTAATGCCTAAGGAATTTAGAAACAAACATTTCCAACTAGTTTCCATCTGTCAGAATAGCAAAAGGTGAGAAAATCTCATATTCCTCGAGAAGTGAACAGAGCATGAAACTTAGAACACTGGAAACTACTTTCCAAGATTACTATTGCGAGCCATTAGTTACTTGGGGAAGAGTTACGAGCATAAGCGAAACCAGGCTATAACTTCAGGAATCTGTTAAAATGGCACTCATTTTTATTCATAAAGTTCTGTGCAGTTTATAAGATGGAAGAGAAGACATGTTTCTTTTGCTCAAAAAGTTTTCAATTATAGATTGCTTTAAAAAAGTGGAATCATGGATTGGTGCAAGAAATACCTTGCGGGCTTTTGCGTGTATAAGTGACTGGATTTTCAATATCGATATATTTGCCAGCTGCATCATCTCATGAACATTTTTCAAACCAAATTGAGCTGCTACTATGCTCTCCATTGTAGTTTTCTGGTTTGAACCACTGCACACTACTACCTCGTTGCATTTGTCTTGAGATCTTCCATACCTTGCCAGAATCATCTTTAACACCAACCACAACAAGCCAGCAGCTATAGCCTTTCCAACCCACTCCCTATATTACCGAATACAGATATATTCTTCATCAGTCATGCATAACTCAGATTTCTTCACACATAGTTTAGAGGATTAGTGTGAAAAAACAACTTACTTGTAGACGATAACTGAAGATGCAACAATCATGGTCAGGGTGGTGGCTGGTCTTCTCCATGAAATGACATCTTGAAACCACGGCACCACATTTTTCAGTGGCTTTAGCAACTCCTACGATACAGAGTATGAACCTATGAGATCTTTATTTTGGATGTATGACAATTATTTTACAAATCACAAATATGCTACCTTGCATATCCCTCGAAAGTTTAAACAGATATCAACTAAAAAATTTTAAGCTGGAAAATTTCTCCTTCGTTAGCTGCAACACCTACCTTGTTAGCCACTGAAGCAATCCTGGCGGGCTTCATCATGATGAGTGGACAAATTGTTTCTTTGTTTACTTTTGAGATGCGATGAATCAATAATCTGTTATTTCTTATTTGTTTTATACTGAAGCGAAAGAAAGATTACCATATCATGGTTTGTGTTGGAAATAAAGTTTGGATGATTTGGAAACTTACCATCAGAACGGTCGCACTTTCACCAATCCCTTCTTCTTTCAACACCTCAGTAGTAGCTTTGGCAATTTCAACTTCCTTTGCTTCCTCTCTTACTTGATTAATAGCACTCTCCAATGAGGAGGGAATGTCGTCTTGATCACTTGCACTAGTACATTCCTTTCCCACTGCTTCAACTTCTACACCTGGGAGCACTGACTGAGACATGTTCATAGTTCTTAGAATCGAGCAAGCGCTGCATGGATGCCCACTATTAACTTTCTTCAGGCTCTCAGCAAGTTGCTCTAGTACATAATCTCCCTTGGGTAACTCATCAAACAAGGAAAATATTAAGAATTTTGTTGGAGAAGGGGGCGATATTCTAAGCAATTCTCTAGCTGCATGCAGCCTTATGATTCCAGATATTGTTCTTGCATGCATCTCCCAAGCTTGTATTGGACATTCCACATTATAACTCGACAAGAACTGGTGCATTAGCATAACCTCTTTGATGAGTGCAAGCCAATGATCACGTCTTGTGGAACTTGTCATCTCTGGAAACTCTAGCACAATTCCTTCCGAACTAGAGAATTTCAGAGGAAAAATCATTCATGATAACACGGACAACAAGATGTATCAACAAGATTAGCATAATTGTCACGATGCTCTAGCTTGAGGTTTTGGCATGCATGAAGGCAGGCAATACTAAAATTGTAAGTGAGGCATGCACCCTAAAACTGTCTACTATACCAGTTCAAGCATCAATATCATTAATATGCATATCACATGGGATCTAAATTTAAGGTTGCCAATTTTCAAAAAAGAAGGAAAAAAAAAATAGCACAACGTCAAGCAGCAGCATTAATAAACTGACAATAGGAATTTCATGCCCATTGTCTAGGACCTTGTTTGTGATTTGGCCACTAAACTCGTGACAGTCTTACAAATGCATAGTAAGTCTTACAATTCAGGAGACTCGTAGCTTATGGCCTTGTCAAAAAGTGGAGCACCCCATGGACCTGTGGCGGCTGGCTTCACAGTGTGTGATATGTTTTTTGAAAGTTCAATCTTAAGTGCATCATCATACGTTAACACTCCCATAGCCTCAAAGTAGACAGCATAATTGGTCAGAGTAAGCCTACCTAGAAAAATAAACTTTTAAGTCAGATCACCATAGAAGAAGAAACCTCTAAAAAATCATTAGGGGGCCTATTTATTATTCCTTCGGATCAAAGACACAGAATGACAAGAGAGGAAGGTATACCAGGCCAACTTGTTCCTCCAACATGCCGTACTACTCTCTGTGAGGTTGCAGTGCCTTCGACATGCAGTATAAACTCATCATCGGCAAGCTCCACTCCCTTGGGCTTTGCATGCTTTTGCAAATGCTTTATGCATCTTATGACGAAGAAACCCACAGGCAATAAATCAGAAAAATTGCATTTCAAATGCAATTGTATCCCACAAACAAACATATATTTATATCTAGTACTATTTTGGGCCATTACTATTAACCTGCAACATCAAACATAGGGCACATTGTTCTTAAGCGGAGCTGATACCATATTGAGGCGGTGAACTATTTTACGCTCATTGTCCATTCAAGGTACCTGATTTCTAATAACTAAACGTGTCCAAAACTTGAGATGTTAAATAAACTGAGACCTTCAGCTTAATGCCAGAATGGTGCGTGGCCAGCGCTACATTTGTTTGCTATGTTGCACCTTAACCAGGTCAAAACTGGCTAACTGTGTTTAGGTATTAGTTACAGGTTGAGATCTATGTGAAATCATCACATGCCGAGTTGTTTTCTATGCCA